AAAGTATTATCTAGTCGGTATAGTTCAGTGGTTGAGCGTCAACCTATGAACCAGGAGGTCACGGTTTGATTCCTGGTCAGGGCATGTGGCTGAGTTGTGGGCTTGATCCCCAGTGGGGTATTTTGCTGCTTTTCTGGGCCTAGAGCTGAACTTCCACTGAGGCCTAGATGTTATCTCTAGGGAGGAAATGTCCGGGTGGTCCAAACCCCATGATCAGTGATGTGCTAGGGGAGGAAAAGTCATCCCCAGGTCCCACACTAAGATTGTCATTTGTGGGGCACGTAGGCTTTTCCACGCTGGTGGCCTTCTATACCTGGCTCCTCCTCCTTGCTCTGCTCCTGTGTATCTAACTGTCCACCACGCCCTGAGAACTCCCCTAAAATTTCCACCTGCAGGAGAGAAATACCCTCCATGCAAAGGACTTAGAGCTCTCCTCCACGGGAGTACTCCATCCTCATTCCTCTCTGGCCCCTTCTTCCCTCCAAGGGATTTCAGGAGAGTTGCAACCAGGGAATCAATTGGCAGTGGCAGCTCCTCCAGTTCTAACCCTCTGAACCTCCCCAATGCCTCCTTTATTCTGACTTTGCAGTGAGCCAAAGCAGCCCATCCTAGGCTCTCCTATTGCTTGTTCTGTGCCTTGCTTCACTGTCCTGAGTGTGTTACTGATGCAGCCAATAAATTCTTGTTTTTTTACACTTTGTCTCTTGACTGAAATCTTTTCTTCAAGAAGACAAGAATTGCCCTAGCTGGTTTGGCTCAGTGAATAGAGTGTGGTCTGAGGACTGAAGGGTCCTGGGTTTGATGCCACTCAAAGGCACATGTCTCAGTTGTGGGCCTGATCCCCAATAGGGGGTGTGGAGGAGGAAGCTGATCAATGATTCTCTCTTATCATTGATGCTTCTATCTCCCTCTCCCTCTCCCTTTCTCTTCTTCTCTGAAATCAATAAAAATATATTTAAAAAAAAAAAGACAAAGAATTGAGATGTCATCATTTTGCCAGTAACAGTTCCATCCTGGGTTAAGGCACTTACAAGAATTGACCAATGAATGCATAAATAAGTGGAACAACAAATCCATGTTTTCTCTCTCTCTCACATCAATTTAAATGGTTTACACTTTTCCTTTCTAACCACAGGGTAAATAGCTTAAATCACCCTACTCACCGAGATAGACAGCAGAAATCCAATTAGTGCCATTTGCTAACAACACTCAAGGACAGATGAAGTTGAGAGAATAAAATCTCATTTTGGTACATCAGTATAAAGCTCATGAATTTTTTATTGAGATATTCCCCTAAACTCCCAGCCCTTAACAACCCCAAGACAGCCCTTCCAGTGTGGCTGGGTGGTTTAGTGTCGACCTAAGAACAAAGAGGTCAAGGTTGATTTCCAGTAAGGCCACATGCTCAGGTTTTGGGCTGGATCCCCAGTAGGGGGCGTGCAGGATGCAGCTGATTAATAATTGTCTCTTATCTTAGATGTTTCTTTCTTTCTGAAATCAATAAAAACAACAACAACAAACTTTAAAAATAAAATCCTCAAGACAGACCCAGTGGGCATTCTCCCTCCCTAGAGCATGCCTGTGCCTTTCTCTTCCTCCTCTTCTTCCCCCACAAGCTGGTTGGTTACCTTTGCCCTTTACTCTTCTAAGCTCCAAGGGCCCTTCCTTTGCTTCTGTTGCTTATTTCCTGAGCCTATGCAGCCCAGCTGACTCACTTCTACTACCTCTGTGACTTTCTAAATAAATTTTCTCTTCTAGTTTGAGTGTTAGCTCTGAAATCTTTCTTAGCCAGAACTCAAGTACCAAAGTTGCTGAACCTAGGTCTGCTATGACTCCACAAGTCTAACACCTGATGCTCTTTTGCTGCCAACAGTTCAAGGTTGTTAGTCAGCAATCCTTGAAACCATTAAAACCAACCTGTCATATTACAAGGAAGTTCTTTGTCATTCTTACTGAACAGACTTAGAAATCCACCTTTATAATGACAGGATAAAAGTATATATAGATTTAACAAAAAATTGATGGTAACTGATATATAAATATTCTCTATTCTTTTCATTATCTATCAGAGGTGTGAGGCCAACTAAACAATTTCTCTCCAAGTATCTGTGTCAACAGTCATCTTATTCTTTTCAAGATTCCTCATCAAATGGGAAACTAAAACTTGTGGCCCTTGGCTTCAGATATGATTTTTAGCCAAGGCTTATTAAAGAATTTGGAGGTATTATAATTTTCTGTTTCCTCACATGTGACCTAGGCCTCAAGCTGCTCATCTGTAAAATGGAGACAATATTAGTGCCTATATCATAAAGGTATTACAAGAATTAAAAAAAAATAGAGTATGAGCAAAAGTGAGTATCAAAAACACAGAGTTCATTCTTGTATTTTTTTTTTTAATTAAAAAAAACACACACAACTAGAGGCCTGGTGCATGCAATTTGTGCATGGGGAGGGGGTTGTTCCTCAGCCCAGCCTGCACCCTCTCCAATCTGAGACCCCTCATGGAAACTGGCAGTTGGATATCCCTCTCACAATCCAGGACTGCTGGCTTCTAACCACTCGACTGCCTGCCTGCCTGATTGCCCCTAACCACTCTGCATGCCAGCCTGATAGCCCCCTAACCACTCCCTTGCTGGCCTGATTGATACCTAACTGCTCTCCTACCAGCATGATTGTCCTCAACTGCCCTCATCTGCCAGCCTGATCGCCTCCAACTGCCCTCCCCTGCTGGCCCAATCACCCCCAACTGCCTTCCCCTGTGGGACTGAGGGGATTAGGAGACTCTGGGTAAATGAGATGGGCCTGAGGGGACTGGGCACTGCTATCCTGTGAGGACCTGATGATCAATTAACATATTCCCTCATTATTAGATAGGCTATTTTTATTGAGTTCAGAGAGGAAGGGAAAGGGAGAGAAAAATAGAAACATTAACAAGTGAGAATCATTGATCAGCTGCCTCCTACATGCCCCCTACTGGGGATTGAGCTCAAAACCCAGGCATGTGCCCTTGACTGGAATTGAACCCAGAACCCTTCAGATGCTCCATCCACTAACTAAGCCAAACCAGCTAGGGTCATTCTTGTATTATTTTTAAATGTATTTTAAAATTATTATTGATTTTAGGGAGAGAAGAAGGGCGAGGGAAAGAGAGAAACATTGATGTGAGACAGAAGTATTTATCAGCTGTTTTCCACATGCACCCAACCAGGGATCGAACCCGAAACCTGAGTATGTGCCCTGACTGGCAACAACATTTCAATATCTGGGACAACATTCCAAACAACTGAGCCCCACCCACAGGGAAATTGTTTATTAATTATTGTATTATTTTCCATACAAACCTACATTTGCCCCACCCTGTTGGTAGAACACCCAGCATGCTGTCCAGCATAACAAACACTAGAAAACATTTATTATTAATACAGAGAGTAGAGCCTTTAGAAAAATAGAAGTGTGATCTTTACATCATGCTTAAGTAAAGAGTTTACATGTCTATTTAGAGATGAACTTAATATTCTTCATAGCTTTAACAAAAAAGAGACTCTTTTTGGAGGGTAATTTGGCAATTTATCTGGAGAGCAATTTTTGTTGTTGTTGTTGTTAATTCTCACCCAAGGAGAAGACAGAGAGAAATATCCATGTGAGAGAAACACATTGATTGGTTGCCTCCTGCATGACCCTGACCAGAACCCAGGCTGAGGAGGAGCCTGCAACTAAGGTACAAGCCCTTGACCAGAATCGAACCCCAGACCCTTTGGTCCTCAGGCCAAAGCTCTATCCACTGAGTCAAACTAACTAGGGCTGGAGAGCAATTTTTGAATAATAAATATAATAATTCCCTTTTGTTTAATCATTTCACTTTTAAGACTTTTTCCTGAGAAAACAATTTAAGATGTGGGCAAAGATTTATGTAGAATATGTTTAGTGCAACATTATTTATAATAGAAAAAATAATTTACATATTCAACAGTATGGGAAACAAATAAATTATGGTGAATTTTCACTTTAAAAAAGTTGAAATATGCATGTAAAAAATTGGAAGGAAATATACTAAAATATTCAAAGGTGATTATCTCTAGATGGTGGTATTACAGGGGATTTCTATTATATTATTTATGCTTTTCTGTTTTTTCCAAAATTTCCATAATAAACATATTACTTCCATAGTTGAGAAACGGTTCTTTTTAATAGCCTCATACACACATTTTTTGTTGTTGTTAGGCTTTGTAAAAGACTACACATATAAAAGAATTCCCCATATGTGAAGGAACTACATAAAAATCCTCTCACTGCTACTCCAGTTGGATCTTTTACAACCTCCTTATGAACTATTGGAACAGCTTCCTAATTGCTTTCCTTGCCTACAGTATTCACTTTACCATCCCATTTAAAAAAATATTTTTTTATTGATTTCAGAGAGGAAAGGAGAGGGAGAGAGAGAAACATCAATGATGAAAGAGAATCATTGATCAGCTGCCTCTTGCATACCCCCTACTGGGGATGAGCCTGCAACCTGGGTATGTGCCCTTGACCAGAATCAAACCTGGGACTCTTCAGTTCACAGGCCAACACTCTATCCACTGATAGAGTCCCAGGTTTGATTCTGGTCAAAAAGGCTAGGGCTTACCGTCCCATTCTTCATACAAGTTGCCGCTAAAATGGGCTGTCTATAGTGAAGAGCTGTTGTTTACTCCCTACCTATAAATGTTCATGATTCCCAAGGACTTTGTCATAAAGTTGAAACTCCTGAGCAGAGCAGGTCAATCAGCAATTAGTTCCAAAACACACACCTCTTCCTGCTTCACTTCCCATCCCTCTCCCAAGTGCCCTATGATACAAACATGTCTAGTTACACTGTCACACCTTTATGTCTTAGCACACATCTGGTGTAGGCAGCAGGAACTGCAGCTACTGGGGTTAGACCCATAGGGTCAGACTGGACCTGGGTTCAATAACCTTCGTACTTGAGTTCTGGATAAGAGAGAATTCAGAGGAAAGACTCAAACTCTAAGAGAACATATATTTGGAAAATCACAGGATAGAAGTAATTTGTAAAAGAAATGGGCTTAGGAGTTATAGAGGTAAAGGAAGGGCCCTTGGAACTTGGGAGTAAGGAAGGTGATGGTAACCTGCCTGGGGAGGCGGGAGAAGGGAAAGGAGAGGATTGCTGTCTGGAGGGAGAGTCCTCTGTCCTAAGGTTTAAGGGCGGAGGTTTTAGGGAAAGATCTCAAGAGAATATTTGGCAGCTTTCCAGGTATGTCCTTTCAGGGACTAGGTCTCCACTGATTGAGTGGTTGGTGCCAGGACAGATGGTCATTATCCAATGCAGCTGGTCCTGAGGTAGGTGTTGCTTGTCTGGTTTTGTTGCTTTTCTGGGCCTGGAGCCTAGATGTTATCTCTAAGGATAAAAGGTCAAGGGGTCCAAACCTCATGACCAGTGATATGGGGGGGGGGGGGGGGGGGGGGGAGAAGGAAAGGTCACCCTGGGGGCAAGGTCCCACCCTCCAGTCGTCCTTTGTTAGGTACCCACCTAGGGCTTTCCCCACTGGTGACTTTCTGTACCTGGCCCATCCTCCTTGCTCTGTTCATGTCTAACTACTTACCACACACCCACTCCTCAGGCTTGTGAATCCAGCCTGTCCTTCAAGCTGGCAGATGACTCCTCCCTGGAAGCCTGTCTGACATATCCCTCCACTGGTATCACTTGTTACCCTTTGGATACCCTTTCTTTGGTGCCCACTTTCGTTCAAGTCCTTGTGGCTATTTAGTGGTTTCTATGTCCATATACCCAACTGAATGCACCTCCAATACACTTCCCGAAGGCTATCAATTTTTAAAAAAACTTTATCCAAGGATATGCTTTATTGATTTTAGAGGAGAGGGGAAGGGAGAAAGAGAGAGAGAGACAGACAGAGAGGTGAAACATAGATCTGCTGTCTCCAATATGTGCCCCAACTGGGGATCGAACCCACAACTGTGTGTCCTGACTGGGACTGGAGTCGACAACCTCTTGGTGGACAGGATGATGCTCCAATCCAACCCACTGAGCCACACTGGCCAGGGCTGAAGGCTATAATTTTTTTAAAAGTTGATTTTTAGAAATAGAGGGAGAGGGATAGAAAGATAGAAACATCCATGAAAAACATTGATTGGTGGTCTCTTGCACGCCCCCTATTGGGGATTGAGATGCAACCCGGGCATGTGTCCTGACTGGGAATTAAACCAGGGGCTTCTTGGTTCATGGATTGACGCTCAACCACTGAGCCGCATTGGCCAGGCGAAGGCTGTTTGATAACTATTTAATAAGTGCTTTCCATGTGCCAGGCCCTGGGCTAGGCATTGGCCTTTCTAAAAATATGTTGTTTTCTTCTTTGCCTCTGGCCAACACTTTTCACAAGCTTATTGAATGAATGGCTGAATGAGTTACCTAGTACAAAGATCCTCAAACTTCAGGGTGCATATGAATCACTCAAGGAACTACAGATGCTGGGGCCCCACCCTACAGCGACTGAAGTGCAATCACCTGGATGTTTAATAAGCTTCCCAAGTGATTCTGATGCACTCTGAAGTTTGGGATTGTCGAGCAGTCTCATTTATTTTCAGAAAAGATTGTGCCTATGCCATTCCAGGCAGATAAAAGCCCACTCTGCATTTGTTTCCTCAAAGTAAGGAAGACATTATTTATTAAGCACCTATTAAGTATTGGGTGAATTATATTTAGGAGCCACACTGGAAGGGCAAAATGTCTTTTTTTAAAATAATATATTTTATTGATTTTGTACAGTGAGGAAGGGAGAGAGATAGTTAGAAACATCAATGAGAGAGTCATCGATCAGCTGCCTCTTGCACACCCCCTACTGGGGATATGCCCGCAACCAAGGTACATGCCCTTGACCGGAATCGAACCCCGGACCTTTCAGTCCGCAGGCCGACGCTCTATCCACTGAGCCAAACCGGTTTCAGCAAAGGTCTTTTCTTTTACAACATGATGGTGATGGCAGTTGATTGTGTCTCCATTTTTTAAAAATTTTATTTTTAAATTACAGTTTATATTCAATATTTTCCCATATTAGTTTCAGATGTATAGCATAGAACTTTACAAAGTGGCCTCTCTCTCTCTCTCTTTTTTTTTAATGTCTTAGCAAAGTAAAAAATAGGTAACTCTGGTTTGGGGTCCAATCTTTTAAAACTTTAATTATTAAAGAAAACATGCTTATTGTATAGAACTTGAAAAATATATCTAAGCAAAGAGAACAACATAGATATTTTATCTATTTATTTTGCCCAAACCTACACCCATCAAACCTACTCTTAACCCCACACAAATACAAGAGTTGATAGGAGGAATGACAAATACAGGGATTTTACTTTTTCATTTGCTGTTATATCCCGAGTACTTCCCAGGTCGTGAAGATTTTGTTGAAATATCTTTGTTAATGGCTATTTGATATTTTACTGTAATTTATGAAACTATTTCTCTTCTGTTTTGATACAGTTAAATACTTTTCCCCATGGATGCCTTTGATTCTAGCTACCTTCCAAATGTTGATGTTACTTAAACGTCTATCTTTGGCTTCTTTCTCTTTCACTGATTTTATGTTTTCATTTTTTTCCCAACCCCTTCTATATGCCAGGAATTTCCTATATACTCAGACCTCTCTCCTGAGTCTAAAGCCCATGAGAGTGAGAGAGTAACGTAAAAAAAAAAAAAAGTGGGGAGAGTCTTGACAGCCAGATTGAAGAGTTGGGGTCCAATTAAAACAAATATTAGTCTAGTTCTGTAAATCGCCAATGTGGTTACTGCTGATTCAAACACAAGCTCCTTTTACAGTATGACCTGTTTCCTTGGCTCTCCCTGCAGCAAGTGGAAATCACTCACACTTCTCAGTACAATGAAGCTTTGACACTTGCTGCCGAGTAGCGTCTGCGCGCGCACGTGTGTGTGTGTGTGTGTGTGTGTGTGTGTGTGTGTGCTGTAGAAGAATGGACCAACTTCTCAGGGACAGGGGAGCTGCTTAGCATCCCCCTTTCTCCCTTTCTGAGCCTGGCCAGGCCGCGAGCTATCAGGGCTGGGGGCAGGGAGAGGAGTGTGGTAACAATTCTAGCTCTTTTTCTTGGCAGTCCACACCCTATTGTAATACATAAGTATTACACTCCTCCTGAAGCCTGAACTTCTCAGGACAGGAGGCAGGAAGCTGAGCTGGAATACAAAAGGGTTTGAAGAGGGCTGAGGGTTACACAAATAGCTTTGCTGACCCCTGCACAGGGTGCCTCGGCCTCGTGGGCTTTGTTCCACTTCCTGGCAGGTTGGAGACAATCTCTTAGAAGGTCCAGCCCGGTTTGGCCAGGCCCAGCCAGACCTCTCTCTCCCCTGCCCAATTTTCTGGTCTTGGGAAATCTGAGGAGAGGGAGGGTTAGGCAGAAGGGTTTGCTCTGATTTATGTCAAGACTGGGCCTCAGGCACTAATGTGGAGGAGAGAATTACTTACTCAGTATCCTGGTGCTTGATGATATGATCTTCTAGGTATTTTTTTTTTTTTCTCAAAAGCCATCATCTTGCCCCACATCCAGATACTTCTCCTTTCTTATTTCTACTTCCTCATACAAGCTTCCCAATACTGAAGAAGGAGCAACCCAAAGCACAACCTAGAGTTCTTAGGGTCTGGAGGAAGGGAGAAGTTGGAGGGGGACTGGGATTAGTGAGATGACTGAACTTAGATGACCCCAATGCAAGGACTTTCAAAAAAACACTTGGACTGCACAGAGACTGGAGCTCTAGAAGCTTGGGTCTTGGAGGCCATCTAATCCCACAAACCCCTCCACAATTAGGGATTCCTCCTGGGACACCACTATATTGAACCCCATCAGAAGACCCTTAGTTTGGCAGCTTTACAGTTAGAGAAATCCACTCATGCTTCAAGATCTGATGATGCCTTCGTTAACAAAGTAAAGAGGGTAAAAATCCAGGCAAGACTGGCCCCAGAAGCAAAATATAAAATAAAATAAAATAAAATAAAATAAAATAAAATAAAATTTAAAAAATCCCAGAATGTCAGTGTTCAGAATGATATATTATCTCAAGAGAGCATTACAATTTAGCCCTAACTCAGGATCTAGAAAGATGAGTTCTGCTCTAGTCTTTGTTCTTTTCCTAAAGGCCTCCAGGAGCTCACTCTGTATCATGGGTAACATTAGCCATTCCAGGGCTCACCTACTTGGCCCAAGTAGGCTCCAGTACAACAAAGGCATTCTGAAATGAGTATCTTCAGAAGTTGGGTGATACTGGGATTCTGTATTCCTAAGTTGACTCCTGAAAGCGGTGTGGGCAGGAAAGACCTGTAGGAATGCCCTGGACTAAGGTTGGAAAAATGGAGCCTCACATAGACCATGAGCTGATGGAGCAATCAGTCAGGAATGGAGATGGGTTATTGTCCTTCTGGCTGAGTCTGCCTATCTCCCTGTGAGCGTATATAGCTTTATAGCATATCTGTTTACCTTCATATCTGTGTTTATCTTCTTCCTGGTCTTCCCTTCCTTTCCCCGCCTGAGGCTAGATCTGGTGATCTTCTCTACTCCCTCAAGATTCCTCCCTGGTTAATCACATTCAATATACCTTTCAGTACAGCCATAGCTTCCAAATATATGAACTGGTCTTTAATTCAGTTCTGAGCTCCAGCTTTGCAATTAGCTCCTCCTAAACACCTCCACTTGGCTGACACACATTCAACTCACTTGTACTAATTTATCAGTTCTCTCCCCCATACTGCTATTGGAACATCTGACCTTGTCCCACTTTTTTTTTTTTTTTTTTTTTTTTTTTTTTTTTTAACATTTCTTCAGTGGTGTCTGAGTTCCCTTCCCAGATATGTAGATGGGGCAGGGGTGGGGTGGGGTGCGGGTGACTGAGAGTTGGTTTGAAGTGTTCTAAGGTCTGGAACAAACAGAAATTATCTGAGATCCAATAGCGGGTCAGGAGTAAGGTAAACAGTTTAGATGTGGATTACAATGGCAGTAGGACAAACCATGTAAGGAGAAAGTATCCTGTTTGAAAAAATCACAGGGATCAGAGTTGGAGGAAGCTACTGGAAGAGAAGAAGCCCCACAGGAGGAAGTGAGGCAAAGCTAGAATAATGGTTGGTCACCATTTCTAAGAATTGCTCATGTATCTGGTGTGAGAGAGTCAGGGACCATCAGAGAAGCTGAGGAACAGAAGACAACCAGCAGACTGTCTTCTACTCCTTAGCAGAACAGTCAGATCCTTTCCAACCTGGTTCATGCTTACTTCTCCAGGTTCACCTTTTCCACTCCTCTGCTCACCCCAGTACTACAGGCATTTCCCCGAATTCGGTGTGACTCCCGTGTTTCTGTGTACATGCACAATTCCCTCTGCTAGAGCATCATTGCTATTGGTGTCTACTCAGTGAAGAACAACTCATCCTTGTACTTGAGCCCCAGATTTCTCAGCTCCTTCAGACACAGTGAGTAATTCTAATGTCACCTGAGGCATGCCTTCTTACCCCAATTATTTCATTGCCACATTGCATAATAATTGTTTATCTGTGCGCCTGAACTGAACCGAACTGTGCACTCCATGAGGACAGAGCCTACACCTTACTGACTGTTTAAACCTCCGCACCTGCCTGGTTGGCGAGGCTTAGTGGTTGAACATTGACCTATGAACCAGGAGGTCGTGATTCAATTCCCCATCAGGGCACATGCCTGGGTTGTGGGCTTCATCCACGGTATGGGGCGTGCAGGAGGCAGTCAATCAGTGATTCTCATCATTGATGTTTCTATCTCTCTCTCTCACCCTCTCCCTTCCTATTTGAAGTCAATAAAATTATATTAAAAAAAATAAACCCAGCACCTAACATACTGCCTAGCACATACTTGGTGCACCCTAAATATTTCTTGGGTGAATAAATGAACAGATTAGTGGGCTCACATTCTTATAGAGGAGACAAGCAAGTAAAGAGAAAATTACAAAGCTGTGTGGAAAGGGCCATGCTAACAGGTTGACTTGGGTACAGAGAGGAAGGAATGCCTCATTTCAGGCAGTTTTACCCCATTTTCTGCCCCTTGCATTATGAAATCCTATTTAATAAAACAGTAATATGCAAATTAACCACCACTCTGCTACACCACAGAACCACGCCTACCAGCCAATCAGAAGCGAATATGCAAATAAACCCAACCAAGGTGGCTGTGGCCACAGAGAGCAGGAGGGAGGCTTGGGTTTTCCTGGCAATGGAGGAAGCCAAGCTTTCCACCTGCCTTTGACAGCCTAGGCCTCCATTCAATGCTATAAAGTTTCAATAATAGAAGGTAAATAAATTCCAACAGAAATGGCAGCAGCCATGAAGCTGGAAGAGCAGGAGGCTAGGGTTTCCCTGGGCGATGGAGGAAGCCAAACTTCTGCCGTCCTGGCCAGCCTAGGCCTTCACTCCAGGCTACAAAGTTTCAATTATAGAAGATAACAAAAATCCCAACAGAAATGGCTGCTGCCATGGAGCAAGCAGAAAGCTTACTTTGCTCCAAGCTACAAAGTTTCAATTGACGAAGATAAATAAATTCCAGATACTAGGGCCTCCACTTGGATCACCAGGGAGTGTGGCTGGCCAAGCCACCGCACACCCCAAGGGAACCACCACCCTGATCCTGGACACCCTTCAGGGCAAATCAATTGGCCTCCACCCATGCACCAGGCTTCTATCCTATCTAATAAAAGAGTAATATGCAGATTGATCATCACTCCAACACACAAGATGGCTGACCCCATGTGGTCAAAGATCCTGCTGCCTTGTGAACACAAGATGGCCATCAAAAGATGGCCAGCAGGGGAGGACAGTTGGGAGGGACCAAGCCTGCAAGGGAGGGCAGTTGGGGGAGATCAAGCCTGCTGGGGAGGGCAGTTAGGGGTGACCAGGCTGGCAGAGGAGGGAAGTTAGGGGCAAAAAGGCTGGCAGGGGAGCAGTTAGACACCAATCAGGCTGGCATGGGAGTGGTTAGGGGGTGATCAGGCTGGCAGGCAGAAGTGGTTAGGGGCAATCAGGAAGGCAGGCAGGCGAGCAGCTGGGAGCCAGGAGTTCTGGATTGTGAGAAGGATGTCTGACTGCCTGTATGGACTCGATCCAACTGGGATTGGGTCTAAACGGGCAGTTGGACATCCCTCAAGGGGTCCCAGATTGGAGAGAGTGCAGGCTGCGCTAAGGGATGCCCCCCTCCCCTGTGCATGAATTTCATGCACTGGGCCTCTAGTTCAATATAAAAACACTAAACAGTAAAATAAAATTTTATTTTTGAGACAAGACATCTTATTCATAGAAATGAAATCAGATAGCTTTCTTTTTGGGAAGAAGGCAGTGCCTTGTTTTGTTGGTGACTATCAATTAGGGTGCTGGCAAAGTGAAGAATGTAACTGAAGAAAATGTAGGAACTGCTGGCAGAAATCTGGGCAGGGTTGAGGAAACCAGTCAGGGCTGAAGAGGCACTTAAAAATTTGCAACAGCTGGAGGCTGTTGCCACATCTAAGCCTGAGGCCTAGGGTGGGAGTCTGGAGCTAGCCAATGAGGAGCTCAGCCACTGTCAGAACCTCAGCCTGGCCCAACCAGCTGGTGATAGGGGAATCCCAACCATCCTCATTTCACACAATCAAAATCTGCCTCCAGCTCTCATTAGCTGAACTCAATCAGAGAGAGCAAGAGAACCCTGGCGATAGTTCACAGAGGTCAGGCTCCAAGAATGGATCTGGGTGTTAGGAAAGCAAACAGATTACCATCAGCACAGAGGGAAGATGCCTCTACTCTGCAGGCGGTCTGAGTGTATGATTATCGCCTTTTGGGATGACAATTTTATGTCTCATGTTTTGTATATTTTGGCATTTGTGTGTCCAAGATTATTGAAATATGCACTGCTTTACTAGTGGGTCTGGGTGGGACAAGGGTACCTACGTTTTTAAAAAGCTTTCCAAGTAATTTTGATATTCTTTGCTTTTAAAAAATAGTTGTATTTATTGATTTGAGAGAGAGAGAGACAGAGAGAAGAAATATTGATTTGTTATTCCACTTATTTATGTAATCATTGGTTGCTTCTTGTATGTGCTCTGAGCAGGAATCATACCTGCAACCTTGGCAGATGGGGATGACACTCTAAGCAACTGAGCTACCTATCCAGGGCAGATAGTCTTTGCTTTTGGAAAACCACTTTTATAGTCCCACTCTCTCATATTTTTATTTATTTATTTATTTATTTATTTATTTATTTATTTAAAATATATATATTTTATTGATTTTTTTACAGAGAGGAAGAGAGAGGGACAGAGAATTAGAAACATTGATCAGCTGCCTCTTGCACACTCCCTACTGGGGATGTGCTCGCAACCAAGGTACATGCCCTTGACCGGAATCGAACCTGGGACCCTTCACTCCGCAGGCCGCAGGCCGATGCTCTATTTACTGAGCCAAACCGGTTTTGGCCACTCTCTGATATTTTAGATAAGGAAATTAAGGGCCAGAGTAATGGGAAAAATTCCATTTTTAGGTGCCTCTTCAGCCCTGTTTGAGAACTAGCCCTTGGGTGATGTTAAAGGGTATGTCTAGAAAAGTGATAGGTTTGCATTTATCACAGAGCCCAATTCTTCCATTTTACTGATGAGTAAACAGACTCCTAAGATGGAATGATGGTCCCACTTAGTATTGTAAGTCATTGTAAGTTAGGTAGTGAGTTAGTTATATAGTAAGTCACAGAGAAGAAGGGGCTAGCTCTAAGATCGGTATTTTTAACTCTAAATCCAGTGTTCTTCTAGGCAGTACACTTTACAGGAAGGTGTGTGTGTGTGTGTGTGTGTGTGTGAGAGAGAGAGAGAGAGAGAGAGAGAGAGAGAGAGAGAGAGAGAGAGAGAGAGAGAGAGAGAAAGAGAGAGAGAGAGAAAGAGAGAGAGAGAGAGAGTGCGTGCTTGCGCGCCTGCCCCCTGGGGGTAACAATTC